TCGTGAGTTTTGGAGCCGCCTGTATACATTGAATCGAGCTCGCTTGGCTATACCTCTCCATGAGAGGTGCTCCAAGTTGACTTTGTGCAAAGCTCCATTTTGAATTTCCTGGAAAAGTTAACCACCTTAGGCGTAACATCTCTGGGGAGCAAAGCTAATGCATACACACGCCAGATGTTGAAGCTTGGTGAGGGATTGCCTTACCGTGGCAAGGGTGGCTCTCGAGACCCAAGCATCTTGTACTTCCGTAGATAAGGTGTACAATACAGTGTCCATAGACCTACCTACTCTGTCGGCATGTTGGTCAGGGTGTAAAGGCGCCTGTTTAAGAGTGATGTTCCTGATTTCATGGTCGATAACCTTCTCCATAGCCTTAAGCAGAAAGGAGGTTAGACTTACCGGCCTGAAGGACTTTGCGAGAGAGTAAGCACTCTTTCCTATCTACGGGATAAATATAACCCGAGCCCTTTGCCACAGCTCGGTGGGCGAGCGCTAGGCTAGCCCACATGATGTTGACCAGGGGTGGAAGTATGAACTCCTTATCTTGCCTCAGCAACACTATGCATCCGGAAAATGGGCCGAGGGCAGGGCAAGTGCACTTTCCATTGGCCAGCCAGATTGCTAGTCTGGTTTCTGTATGGTCCCTCGCCAAGGCTTTGTGCAGCTTAGCGGCTGCAGAAGTCGATGAGAGTCCCTCACTGAACTTCCTGAAGCTGTCACATTTGACCTTCCTGATATCTTTAATGTAGTTGGCTAGACTGGTAGAATATTCAGCCCAGTGCCCTGTACGCTTTGATCTGTTGAGTAGTTTGCGTACCTCCTTTCTGAGCACCAATAACTCCCGAGACCCCCAAGCATCCCTTATAGTGGCATTTAACTCATTACCGGTGCTCTCTAGTCTCATGCAGTCTACGTGCCTCAGTTATGCATTCTTGGTATTGCATGCGAGTTGTCTTATAAGGAATCTGTTAAATGAGTTTTGCGTGCAAGAGGTTATCTAACGCACAACATTACATATGTAGAAGTCTGTTGGTTTTTGATTTCTATGTAAAAATGACATGCTATGCAGTGCAGTGCAAAGTATGCATAACTGAGCTATTACACTGAACTTCTGTTAAATTTGTCTTTAAATCTCGCTGTACTTTTACTAGTCGGTTTTTCTGGAGTTCCTTTTCACCTGCTTTGTTTTTACCTCTGTTCCTAGTGCACATTGGATAATCCTGTGGTCTGGCAGCGAGAGCTTCGACGAGATCCCTATTGGATGACCGGGGGGCAGCCTATCTTTTTCTAAGCTCTAGTTCCTCTTCCCTAGCCCTTGTACAAATGTCGGTGATTGACCAACATTGTGGATACTAAGTTCTTCACTTAAAATGTACTCTAAGAGACACTCACCCTTGCGGTTCAAGTCCGTGCTGCCCCACTCAACATTGTGGGTGTTCGCATCGCACCCGATGAAAAGGTGGAGCCGCCTCCTTCTACAAGGCTCCACTAGCTGCTGTACCTCGTGCGATGGGGCGTTATTGCTGTCCCCGGGAAGTGGGCTGCAGCAAACGCCACCTCTAAACTTCTGCCGATTATCGACTGAGTCGTCTGCACTGCGGCCAAGTCCTATGTAAGAAATTCTGTCATGCAAAAATAATCAGCAGGAGAGGTCCCAAATTACCTTTGTTGTTATGGCTAAGGCGCCTCACCTTGCCTCTTTAGGTTCACGGCTCTTGGATCCGTAGGATGCCCAGGTCATCCGTGACGAACCTGCTGGTGATGACCGCCGAAGCGGCCACTGCGTGATGCAGGTTGGCTAGGCCAAGTATCGTGGAGGCAACCATCTATAGAAGAAATAAATCAGCTGATACGGAAAAATCTAAATTCCGCAGAATTCTGCGCTACGGGCTACAACTACAGACAAATTATGCGGTGTTGAGTTTTCATTTACGTGGCGCTCTGGTAAGATATATCGGCTGCGTTTCTTTATACATTCCGGATAATCTCATTTCACAGCCGGAATAAACAGAATGTGTTTGAAATATATAGGTTAACATATCATCAAGAAGGTTCTAAAGAATAAGTAAACGTTCAGAATGAATAAAGAAATGCAGCCATCGTGTCAGCTGACTCGGGTTTACGTACCTGTGGGTTTATTTCGTTATTTCATATTTCCTTACCCAGAAATGCAGCGGATGACGGTTACTCGACGTTCACTTGAGACAATTTTGCGAAGACAAAAGCGATACACTTACATGATTCAATAATTAATTTGTTTAGGCGCGTCTGCTAACACCAGGCTCCTAAATACATGCTATGTACTGCTGCATGTGCAAAAATTTCGTTTATGCAATTTAGGAAATTTTTGCACATGCACTTCTCAACTGCCATGTAATTGAACTTTCTTAAGTTCTAATTAGATGGCACTTCAAAGTATGCTCGGCCTAGTCTGATGCATCCTCCGGACACTGCTTCCGGAGCATTTTGCGGACTCTGCATGACTTACAACCATGCAGAGGTGGCAAACGAACTTTGCCATTGGCCACAGTGCCTACCCACCATATTTGAACCAATAAATATTTTTTTTTATATTATATAAATACATACATGCGAACATACCGGTCTCCCCTCTCACTGAGTTATTCAAATTAATTATTGAATAATGATACATTTACACTTGTTCACTACTGCACACACACAAATTCAATTAATTGTCAAGACAATTGTCTTCGTCGCCACAGAATATACAGCAATAAACCTTTTTGAGTACTCCTCGGGGGTAAATCTGATCAGGGTTCATAATGAGAAGGAGCATGAATTTTGCCGATTCAGAGTTGCATACAAATTTACTGTGGTATGAAAGGGAGCAACAGCCGCACTATGGCAGAGTGGCACAGGTAATTTTGTAAACAAACAATTTTCTTATAATTATAAGAGATATCCAGCGTATGACCACCATAACCTTCGGAGTCTCCAAGCAAATGTGTGTCCTGAGTTTATACGGTAGCCATTCACAGCAATTACTATTATATGTGTGTATGATTCATATTTTTGACATTCTCTATTTTGATGTTGAGTATTTTTGAGGAGCTCCGGGTAATGGTCGCTCAAACTTGGGTGTGCTTAATGATTTCTCTGGGCGGATGCGCTGGCAGGCTTTGGAGCCTCTATAACTATACAATCCTTGTTTTGTTTTGGAATAAAAACTTAAATATATTCGGAAACTTAGAATTTTTCCTTGATAAATTCAAAAAATTCACGATTTTTTATAAAAATATAATCTTACAATGGATATTTTATTGATTTTAAATTAACATTTATGAAAGCTCCATTCAGTACTATAATTAGGTACGACTTGCGTTTCCAGTTTAAAGAAACACAAGCAATAATTATGTACTTTACTATTGACAATGCCGCATATTCATAGTCATATTCAGTACTCAACTAAGTCGAAACTATTCTAAGGGCCGTTTTCTGAAGTAACCTTTAGCTTTAAAGCTCACGTTATATTTAAAGGCTACATTAAAATTTATGATTGTGTCTAAAGTAAATCATTTTATTGACGGTTTTAAATTGATTTACAACCAAGAAACAGACATACGTCAAAAACCGATAATAGAAATGTTTAACATTAGACATAGCTTTATTTTTAATCCAACCTTTAGATATAAAGTGAGCTTTAAATTTAAAGGTTACTTCAGAAAATGGCCCTAAGTCACAGCTAAAGCTATTCATAGTCGCCTTAGTTTCGACTTTTCTGGTTAAGTACCAACTTAAAATTTAGTTTCGGCTGCAGCTGCAACTAAGTCGTAACTAGGAAGAAGTAGTTTATCAAATTAAGGGAAAACAGGCGAAATATGTCAAAATTAAGTTGGTAGAGGGTGGATTTTAAAATATTGAATAATCTCCAATTAAAATATACAAAGATCGATCCATTTTAATCGGAAGATAAAATTAAATACGTATTACAATTCGAGTAAAGCTACATCACAATTTTATAATTGGAATAATTTAGATAAATTCTCAAATAATAAGTCAGTTTCACGCTAGTTATTTTAAAGTAAATTTGTGCATACCATTTAGATATCTACTATTTGTATGTTTCACAGCATGCTTTCGATAAACATCGACTTCACATCACTGCGTTTGTTCTGGCTATTTCACACAATTAACAAGAAAAAGATACCTTATTCTTTTGCATAATCATGCAATGAAAATAAAAACTACATAAACGGATGATCAAACTTGACATTATTTAATAAAAATGTAATTTTTCCGAAATATCGTAAAGAAAAATCGATACATCTTCACACTCGTTTTGCTATATCGTAAACTAAGCCGAAAATACTTAGTAGAAGTCTGAATTGCGACTATGAATAGAGGTAAATTTTAAGTTGGTACTTAAATTTAAGTTGCAAATTTGTTAGTTTCGACATAGTTGCTGGACTATGAATACGCGCCAATATTCTTAATTAAGAATTGATATTATATGTAACCTACATTTTGTTCATAAATAGCACAATTATGTATATATATTCTATCCTCGAAAAGAACTTTTTCTAATCATGAGGCGAATTCCCCACAGTAAGCATTACCGTGCGCGCAAAACAAAAACGCTGCACACAACCCCAAAGTACTCCTTGGGGACCAATTGGTGAAAAACTGCGACAGTGAATTGGAGAGTAAATTGGACAATTTGGTTACGTCTTGGTTAATTTGAGAAAAAGAGGCAAGACGACATTCTTAATTGTCTTGTCTCAAATTGTCTTATGCAAACTCAGCGTTAGCTGCTGTCAAAACTAAAACTCAAAAAAAGTTTACATGAAAATGCAACAACAACGATGTGATCCTGATAGAACTGAACATATTCTTGGCCAATTGACAATAACCATTCCATCACTCTCCTTATTACTTTTCATGCGGTCGATTCCCGAAATGTATTGGTATTCGCCATATACCATAGAAGCATATATATATATATATCCTTTGGTGCTCCAACCTAACATAATCCATCATGTTCTTTGCTGGAATATAAGGGGCTTGCACCATAGCGTTCTATAAAATAAGTAAATGGAATTATATGTATAAGGTACCCAACAATTTATTAATATTCTTACCAATTAAAATAAGAGCAGTCGAGCGATTTAGTCTAAAATGCTGCCTAAATTCGAGGTCACTATATTTGTCTATAACAGCTAAAAAGTTTTAAATTCTTGTGCGCTTCTCTTCATTTCCTGAAGTGCTTATCGTACTTGAGGAGAATCTAGAAGATCTTCCGTCGAGACGCTGGTGTTTGCTGATTCGGATGACGACGATTCACACATCACCTACGTTACACATAGTAAAATAAAATAATTTAATTACTGTAACTTCGAACATTAAAATGTTAACTTACTTCAAATAATTCCGCTTCCATAATTTCTACTTTTGTTTTTCGATTATTCTTTTCTCTCAAGTAGCTTGTTTATATTTCTTCTTCTTACTACCAAAACAGAAGTTTAATATCAGTGCCGCCAACACCCATAAAAATGATCCGAATCGTTTCCGTGAGAATTGATCGTGATACTGAGCTGGATAACCCGAAGAAACTCGACTACACATAACCCCACGTTTCCACTTTCGATATGTATTTTATCGTCTGTCAAATTTCTGTTTTAACGTTGTCCAGTTTTCTCGCGTGGTTACATGAAAACAAGGTGTCCAGATTGTTAAAAAAAAGCGAAATTTCTAAAAAAAAAAATCGCCAAAAATCGCAAATTTTTTTTTTAATAAAATTCATGAATCTTTTATTTTAAAAATTAGATCTTTGTATAATATGGTTTTTAAAACCAAAAACGAATACAATACCTTCAGAGGGTAATAATAAATAACACAAATCACTTATATAATAGTGATGTACAAACAATTTTCTTTCAAAATACGCATACTTTTTAAAAATATTTGTTTAAACACATTTTGCATTAGTACTGCGCAATTATTACATTTATTATAACTCATATTATTTGATTAATCGCACAATTCGCTCGGCGCTAAAAATTAAATAAAAACTTATAATAAGGCGAGATCAGCTATTTCCACAATTTCCTCAAAGTCACCTATAGTGTCTGAATGATTTACATATATGTTGTCGTCATATATTGAGCTATTCAACCTTGAGAACATACTGTTTGATATTGGAAACGTTTTTGCAGCAGAAACTTAGTCTGTTTCAATAGCAGTCCGGTTTACAGGATTTAGTCAGAACTTACAGGAAGTCGTTCCTATTGACATAAAACCTGTAAGTGGGAACACTTTTGAGAGAGTAACTGAGCAACTTCCTAGTCAGAAGTTACAGAATTTAGTCCGGAGTTTCTTTTCCTGTAAGTTTATGAAAAGTGTCAAACGATCAGCTGATTTGCATGTGCAAACAAAAACAATAAACGGTGAAAGCAAAGAACCTTATAATTGTAAAAAAAAAATGGAAGTAAACAACGAAATGTTTGAATATGTATTGATTTTAATAATTATTTAGGTCGGTGTTATGCAAAAAGTTTGTTTGGCAAACTGCGAGCAATTGTTGTTGCAGCAAACTCGGAGAGAGCGAGTTTGGCGACTCTCACAGCAAACTAATTTTGTTTGGTCAAACTGCAGCAAATTCGGTGTTGCCATATACGAAAATTTTAGACAATTGTTGCTATACACAAAAATTGTCGTGATACCGAAAGCCAGAGAACTGAATTTATGCTGTAGGAGCTTCAAAGATTAGGGCACAGTTAATTGCCTATACGATATAAAAAAAAAATATTTTAATTGTGCGCGTTATGTACATCTGAAATTCTCATTTCGTGTTGGCAATAGCCATGAAAACCATAATGAACGTGCAACCATGTGCCAAACTCGACATAACCACCTCCGAGCAAACTAATCAGCCGCCATTTAATTTGGCAAACAAAAGTTTTTCTGCATAACACCGACCTTAGTGATATTTCAGCCAAATCAGTGTTGTACAAATGACATGTAAACAAACCGACTGACGTTAGAAATAGTGCTTTTTGCGTTCACGTGCCCTTCTGCATCTGTTCTCCTTTTACTCTCACTTGAGAGAGTAAAATCGTAGTTTGACAGTTCCACAGGTTTTAGTCCGACACACAGACTAGCTATTAAGGCTCTGTTATGCATACTTGGCATTGCTTGAGAGTTGTCACATGAGGAATCTGTTAAATGAGCTTCGCGTGTAAGCGGTTTCCCAACGCACAGCATTACATACGTAAAAGTCTGTTGGTTTTTGATTTCTACGTAAAAATGGTATAGCAGTGCATGCAATGCCAAGTATGCATAACAGAGCCTTTAGCCTTCCGATAACACTTTATTCGAACTATTGAATTAAGGTTTTCCAACCTCATCCTATTTCGAGTCTTATGCAGCGTTTTTGCTGCATTTAAAATGCAACATTTAGCACTTTCGAACATATGTTTTCGAAGAGCGTTCATGCTATAGCATTTAGCATGGTGTAATAATAACAAGGTGTTGTCAGTAACTTAACCTCACTTTTTCGGCAGGTCTATTCCGGTCACGCATTTTAAAGTAGTAGAAAAAGTACTAATTATTTACTACTTTTAATCCGTTCGTGCATACTATTTCAAATTAAATGTAGAAAAATGTTTAATTACAGGCTTATAAGCCTGAATATATGTTTGTATCGTAAGCTCCACACAGGTTGCACATATATTGTAACTTATAAAAAAGTACAGGCCGTAAAATAAGGCAATTTCCTATAAAACTGTAAATGATTTTTTAAATAGATTAGTAATAATAATAATAGATAGATTGGCGCTTACACATTTGGCCGAGCTTCTCCTCCGACTTGCGGCGTGCGCCTTGATGTTGTCACACAAAGCGGAGGGACCTACAGTTTTACGCCGACTCNTGTCGAATTCATTACGGAAAAGACGCGCTCAGCAAAACATGGGAGTGCGGCAAAGATAATAATATGAATTTACTTATATTTCCAAACATTTTATGCGGTTTTCACTCCGCAAGCAATTATCCAAAATTCTTCAGAGTCGGATGGAATGGTTCTGAAAAAAGTTATTCCATGGGAAAGTTAAAATATTTAAATATTCAGTTTCCGCTGCTTTTCTTTCCTTCAAAGTCAAATAGTGAATTGGCAGATCCCTTAAACTCGCCCTCTTGTGATTCACACACTTTTTTGGTGACAAAATCAAAGCTTTTTTATACCATGTTCTGGCCGACATCGAAAACATGTTTTTGTTGCTAAAACTGGATTTCGACCTAAAACTTTTGTTTTCGTCNAGTTTTGCTTATGCGTAAAAGCCCATTTAGCGCATTTAGCTCTAAATGCTACTCTAAATGTACATTCATCCATACAAAATTCGTCACCTAAATGCAATTAAATGCATCTACATATTTGCATTAAGAATCTAAATGCTAAAAGCAACCCTGTGATCTTCCAAAATTTCCACGATTCGAACATGGTTTAAAGAGAAAAAGTGGCAACATTGCTTTTTCGGGTATACAGTTGCTAGCTGCGTTTCAGTGATCGCCGATCGAGATTTCTTTTATTTTGCATTACATATTTGGATAAAGAAAAGTTAAGCAAATTCAATATCGATTTGATACTGATAGAAATCTGGATCAATTTGTGATCAACTCTGTTTGGTTTGTTTCCTAATTAAGTGAGGAAATTTTAATTGAATGCGCCGACAAATAAATATATACACAAACAAATGTTCGGTTATGGTTAAAACAATTCAGGTTTTTGTATTGAATTTTTGGTTTAAAATTAATTTTTTCCTTTTCAGTAGGTGTTTTTGCACATTATCTTATCGTAATAGATACGGATCTGAATAAGCTACTGGAACATGGCTCTTTGTCAAAAGCATACGATTTCGAACACGCGTAAATGTACATTTGCTAAATGCGATAGCATGAACGCCCTTCGAAAACATATGTCCGAAAGTGCTAAATGTTGCATTTTAAATGCAGCAAAAACGCTGCATAACAACATGCAACATCTAGTTACATGCCCCTCACAGTGTTGGCATTTTTGGTACAATTGTACTATATTGATACGACTTCGTTTACAGTATACTTTCCTAGTACGAAGTAGTTCTTAGTAAAATTTTTTGATGAATACTAAAAATATATGGCTCTGAAAATTCGCAGCGTGAAATTTTTTTATTCTCTTTTTGTTTTTGCCTTTTTGTATTTGCCTTTGTAAGTTTTGAAAAATTTTTTAAATGACTTGAACGAGCCATTATAATACAGCTAAGGTCTGCTATCAGCTTTACATTCCTATGCAAATTCTGAAAGAATATTTTCGATACTAAACTTTATTAAAACAAAATGTCGAAATCAGATTCATATAGAAACAAAGTCTTCGTTAATTAAAACAATAGATTTTCTTTAATATAATAATTGTATGGCATGTGAGTGCCAGTACATTCATCCATTCAAAAAACGTACTAGGGCAAAAGAGAAGGCACGCCCCTGTTGCTCACTTTTACTACAATTATAACGTGTTGTGCCTTCTTGTTATCTACGTTCTTTGGTAAAGTTTTGATAAGCACTTGAATTGCTACTAAAATGTCAAAAGTTATTACCGAATCCAAAGAAGATGTCTTCTTTATCCATAAACTTAAAAATGCTTTTTGTTAAGAAGTTTACCTGAAAATATGGGTATACATATTTGTGTTAAATGAAGTACATGTGTACCTGGAATCAAGTTGTAAAAGTGTAAAATACGTAAATGTATGTACATAAACTAGAAACTTTCTCATGAATACCATAAAATCTTTGGTCTTTAGGGGAATGTACTAAGCAAATATATGAACAAATTAAAAAGTTGATACAATTTATAGTCGAAAAGTACAGTTTTTGAATATATTTCGTACTCAAGGAAAAATTCAACTTCCTAACACTGTGTGTGAATAGCCTTCAACCCACAATCCCAAAACTCTTTTTCAAAAGTGTTTTCGTTGTCGGTTAGAACATGGTATAATGAATTAAACTAAAGACGTTGTATTAACAAAGAACACGGCGCAGCTCTCTGCTAATACATCTACTTGGCAGCACTGTTTGGGGAGCTTTTTGTTTTGCCCCAATCTTCACTTGCATTCAGTTTTCGCGTATTTGTCAGCAATAACGGTAGTTGTTTATCAATCAGTCGGTGAAAGTGGGAGGCCTTCGATAAAAATAAACACGACTTCTTTATTTTTAATTAATAGCCTTTGGAAAAATACAGTGTGCTAATACAAATCAGCTTTATGACCAACACCAGAAACAACAACAAAGCGACAAACCGCAGGCGTAAAAGGCCACTGTGATACGTACTGGAACAAAGCGAGTGGTTGCAAAAGCCACCTGCAGTTAAATAAGTTTCCTCGCATTTACTCTGCTCACTATTTCGCTGTTTGAAAGTCAATATTTGTTAACAAACCCAAGCTGCAGCAATGAGTTCATACCCTTTCGTCGCACCCGGAACTGTAGGTTTTTTAGTAATAGCAATAGGGCTTTCTACGCTAACATCTGGTAGCGTAATACCTGCAGCGCTGCGGGGTGGCCCCGTTGCACCTGAACAAGGTCTTTATGATGCCAAGGATAAGGTGACAATACTTACAGTGAATAATTTTAATGATACAGTTCTGCATCAAAATCGCTCCTTGCTTGTAGAGTTTTATAATACATTTTGTGGACATTGTCAACGCTACGCTCCGCGCTACAAAGCTCTAGCGGAACGTTTGTATCCGTGGCGAGAAACCTTACTGGTGGCGGCGATCGACTGCAACGCATTCGAAAACACTGGAATTTGCCGTGATTATGAAATATTTGCATACCCTACATTACGTTACTTTTCACCTGGCTTTATGTGCAAAGAGGGAAGTTATGGTCAAGAGGTCAAAGCACATGTCGAACTAGATGAGCTTGCGTCAAATATGGCTCAAAGGTTAGCAGCAGAAAATGGCACGGACAGCTTGCCGAATTTTCCAAATCTTCACAGTGTCGGCGAAATTGATGAAAAAACACTTTTCAATGGCTTGGATAGCAATAAAAAATTTGTGATATTAGCGTACGAACCGGAAAATAGTACTTTAGGAGTAGAGAGTGCTTTACAATTCCACTTGTGGCCAGATGTACAAGTACGACGCGTCAACGACTTAAATGTGGCCAACAAATTCCAAATCGATGGTATCCGTTATAAGATAGCAACAGTTGATAGGCAAGGAAATGTAGTACCTTATGGAGTAGCAGAGGACACAGCCGCTGCATACGCGGCTACAATTGAAAGTTTTCTAGAAGCTCAGCATTTTAAACCGCGCTTAACAAAAACACCAACAACCGAAGATAGCATTGCACAAGTTACTGACAAAGACAGTGGACGAGCTGCTATTATCAATGAAGTGCTTCGTAATAAGCATTTCGTTTATCAGGTGAGTGAAAATGTAGAGAAAGTTTCTTACTTTGAGAAATAAGTATGTACCTATAATATATACATATATAACGTATTTAAAATTTTGGTATAATTATGAAGAGTGCAGAAAACTTATAAAATATCCCTCTCGCCTTTACGACTTTCACAGAACCAAAAAAGCCCCCAAAAATAGGTGAAAATGACCGGGCACTATGACTTACATACGAAATCATTTGTATCTATGTAAATTTCCATGCAAAAAATTAGCAAAGACGTACCGGTGTGGATTATATGAATATTTTTATTTATATTTTTTTATGTATGTTATCGCATAACTTTGGGCCACGTCAACCAATTTCGGTAATTATTTTTCTTTGGAAAGGTAGTCTCACAGGTTGTCCCATACTAATTTTGTTTAGATCCGATCATTTGATCATGAAAAAAATAACGGTATTCCAAAATTTTTGTACATATGAGAATTGAAGTCAGTAGTGTTTTTTTACTTAAAATTTACTTGTTTAAAAACTTGTTGCCACTGTAAATTTGTTTTCAGGACCAAACTTCAATAAAAAGGGACCAAAATGAAAAAAATGAGACCAATTTGTTTCGCATTTCATTGGCATACAAGCAATGCTTGCAGTATTTTATTTAACAAAACATGTTCATAAACGCAAACATTGGTTTCTAAACAATAACAAAAAAATTTTCAATTCAAATTGCACTTAAAATAAAATTAACATACAATTTATCACATGCGGACAGATACATCAATTTTATACCAGAGACATAACTATTATAAGAGAAAAGAATAAAAGTCAGTCAATAATTATCAAGATAAAAATTATTCGAGTCATCTATAATTATTATTCAAGGACTTATATTATAAAAGTCCTTTCATATGTGTATCTCAGTAACCTTTCAATGAATTTGTACCAAACTCGGTACGATTATTGTGCTCTCCACGTAAAAGCAAAGTGTTGAAAATTATTGAAATCGGACTAAAATTATGCCCACTTTTCATATAACGTAAATTTCTGTAATGCTTTTAACTTCGAAATTTAAGTACGCTAATTTGCTCAAAATTGATACTCCAATAATCCCTTGGAAAAAAGTAACATTAATACGGAATTTTGGAAAATGGGCGTGTTTGGCAAGTGTTAGTAGGACAGTTTATGGTTTGAATGCACCGATTAAAAGAACGTTAACAGATATGAATATGCTCTCTCCTTCTTTAGATTTAGATTTTTATTGCCAAACCCTGTATTACGTAATATCATAACATTTTATCCCTGTTATAATGCTCGCTAGCTTAATTTGGTAATTTATTATTAAGACTTGTAATGTATCGTAATTCATACTTACATATGTACTTGTTAAGCTTAAAACTTTGTGGTAGTCGTGTACTATGAATTTAGACTAATGGCGATTTCGTTTCTACCAAAAATGTCGTCTTTTGATTGCCCCTTTCTCTTTTCGTGTGCGGTTCAAAAATAAAGACAAAGGGTGAGCAAATTTTGTGTTCATTTCTTAAAATGTCACACTCTTGTAAGGCAAAAAAGGCACATTCCCTGCACTTTGAAGCTTTGTCAGGGGTGATGGTTGCCCTGAAAATCAGCTCGTTGCTTATAACGACAACATTATGAGTTCCGTGAGATAGGCACGGACAAGAAGGAAAAAATGCCCTTTTACAGGGTTAAGTGTAACATCTAACACATTTTGCACCGGGGAAGGGACCTTTTTTTTTTGAAGAAACGAAATCACCATAAATAAATAAATATAACTTACCTACAAGTTTATTTCATTATGTCTAACTGAACGTACTATTGAGGATGTTTGAAATACGGAAATGTGAAAAAACTATATTTAGAAATTGCGCCGGGTATTTTATTTTCGGCCCCGTCCGAAATTAGACTTTTTTACTTGTTTCAAACTAATTTTATTAAAAAAAAAAAACTCGATTTTGGAAATATTTTAAAATCGGTACAAATTTTTTTGGCGCAAGTCCTAAAATATAAGAAAACCCGCAACTTTATTTGGCAAGGCACTCTAATGTATGTATGTATATATGTAGATATATGTATATGTAATACATATGTAAGTACCTGACTTGATAAATTATTATTGCATATACTAAATAGCATCACCAAATTTTATATGAAGCTAGTGAACCCTCATGGCGGTAAAAATTCAATTTTAAAAACTAAAAAATCCTCCACATGTTAGTCAGAGTTATAAGAGATCCGAGTGCCATATTTCATCAAACCCGTGCAGCCGTTTCTGAGTGAAGAGAAGTCTCGCATAGTGTATGTTTTTAATTTCATCGAATTTCAAATCACTATAATATGCTAATGAAAAAAGTTCTTAACTAAAAAAAATAAAACTTTATAATACATCTACAAGCTAATATGACCTCTCATTTTTGAAATTCCTTTTCAAAAGTATTCTCAAATACAAATTTTCTTAAATCATTTTCATCTGACATTGTGATACACATGTATTTCAATAAACTGATGAACTTATTCGTATTTGATTGCTCGAACAAATGGCAAAGGTCAGGAAGAAATCCCTTTCAAACCCCTTTCAATTTATACCCATCTTTTAATAATTCATCCAACTTACTGAATAATTTGAGTTTAACTTTTTAAACACCTGGCAACTCTCTTGAAATATTTGAAATGTTCAAATTAAAGATTTCTTAGCATTCCTTCGTTTTGACTGCGGTGTCTTTATATTGCATATACTTTTTGAATTAGTTAACTGAGTTAGACCTTTCAAAGTACTTTCAAGCTTAATCATTGTTAACTCTCCTTCGCCGGACACTACTATACGTATTTGATTTAATTGATGAATTAAGTGGAATTTTAATTTTCAAACAACCCCGCTAAATACATTTCAGAAATAAAACATATTCAAACGCCCTTCGATTGATACCCATATTTTAATAATTCATTTAACTTATAAACTATTTTGATTTTAACTTTTTAAACAGATGGCGACCCTCTTCCAACACCTCAAAAATATTCTTAAATTTCAAACTAAATATTTATTAACACTCCTTCGTTTGACATCCACATTTTGATATTTTGTCTAACTTGTGTATAAGTAACCTAAATTCGACATATTTATATATTTTCAAACTACTTTCTGTAACCCGTTTCGTTTGGCACCCATATGGTGATAAATATCGTCGTTTAAAGTACAAAACCGTGTATCGTCATTCTGCAAGACCGCGTAACTGACATTGGCTGCCAAAAATTGGATTTGCTCTTACAAGCTATTGGCTCAATCCTTATCCATTCGTCCTGAAATATACTAGCCAGAAATGCGCTTGCCTTATAAAAAAGAGAACCATTTTGAAATATGAATGTTTTTACGTGCTAGAAAATAATTTCTACAAGTTCACATACGCGGTTTTGCATTTTGCTGATACGCGGTTTTGCACTTTAAACGACGATATTTCTCTTAATATGATTTTTTAAACAGATGGCAACCCTCCTATACTTCAGCTGAGAAACAAAACTTTTCAAAACCATTTCGATTGATACCCATTTTGTAATAATTGATTAATTTTTGGAAAATCGGAAGAGCGGTGCGGATTTGATTGTCAATGCCATCAAATAATTTGACTAAAATTTTTTAAAAGCTGGCAACTCTTTTCGAAAAACTAAAACCAGTTTGCACATCTACATGCCAAGTGCTTTAATAGGTTCATTCCTTATCTTTTTGGACTAAACACTTTTTTGGACACTTTTCAGATGTCAAAATGCCAGAGCGTAAGCAAAATGCGCTCACTAAAAGAGAATAACACGAAAAGTAAAGGAACGCAAAAAACCAAATTTTTAGTCCAAAGAATGGCAACAACAAAACTAATGTCAAATAAGAATAGAAATGTATGGAAAAAAACACGTTCACACAAGCACAAGCACAATAACACTGGCTATATCAATTATTTTTTGCCTCCTTCCAATTTCAATTCACTTTTTTTACTTTTTAGATTATTCTCACTTTTTGCGTATTCTTTAATTTCCGTTAATTTAAATTCAGTTGAGTTTGACACTTTTCAGGATTTTGCCAGAAAAAATTCTTCTGACTAAATCTGACTACTTCGGACTTTTTCTGGGAGATAAGGAACGCTCCTAATTTGACATCTCACTTTTGAAAATTGGGCGAACGGCGCAGAACTTTTATCCTGAACAAAAAATCCCTTCGTGTTTTATATATATAGATTGGCCATTTCTGACAACCCTCGATCAAACTGGTGATTCTATTCTAAACCCAGCCTATGTGTTTTACTAACCAAACGTAATGAGGCTCTGAATTTTACGAACAAAGTTCTTTGGACAACATTACTTGTGGACAGTGTTGCCGTTGAGAATTTTCAGAAAGTCGCAAAAAAGGGATAATTGACGAAAAAAAGGGTCACCATATTATGTTTGATTTTCCTTAATAGCAACAGAATAAATCTGCTAGAACGTTCCGCTGTTGAATTTCAAAAGAAAGTAGCGGGACAAGCTTTACACAAAACAGGGTTGGAAGCATACACAGAAATCAAGTTGCTGCAAAGAGAAAAGTTGTGTTTCCTTTAAAAGTTTTAAGTGATGAATTTATCGTCCTTACAAGAAGAAATATTTTTTTATAGCATGGTTCTGTTAACATTTCCTAAAAACCTCCTGAAAAATAGCAAAAGTCGCACATAATTTTGGGAAAGGGTCAAAAAATCTAAATTTTCAAAAAGTCCGGTCAAAGGCTATTGACGCCTAAAAAGGGTAAAATTGCTTTTTTAGTCGCACAACGGCAACACTGCTTGTGGATTAAACTGAACTCTTATTTATTTCGTACTTTAGATTTAATAAGTAAAAACGTATGTTCTGCTGGCGTTGAACTGTGTGCATTAATGTCTAGCATGTTGTCAAAGAACCAAATCTTTCACTTTACCAGAACAGTGTTGATTTTATTAAATACATTTAATTGGACCAAAGTAGCAACCGTTGTCGCGACTCGTCATTTTAGGTCATAAAG